CCAGGCACAGATCCAAGAGGCCAGGGCTGCCCCCTCTCCTCCCAACATCTCCTATCTGTGAGTGCTGCAGGCAAAACCCAGCTCCCTGCTTGCCCTTTAGCTTCGTGTCTCGCTCCGCAATTCCCAGCATTGCACGCTGTTATTTTTCTCCCCCCATCCCCAGGGTGTGCCCGGCAGAAGAGCTGCCCTTCGAGGATGCCTCTGTTGACCTCCTGGCCTCGTTCACGGCCGCGCACTGGTTTGATATTGGGAAGTTCATGAACGAGGCGAAACGCGTGCTGCGGCCGGGCGGCTGCGTTGCCATCAGCACCTACACCACTGATATGAGCCTGCACTACGGCGACTGCTCTGAAAAGCTGACCCAAATCTTCCGGGAGGTGAGGGAGGGCACCGAGCCTCCCCCTGGGGCAGAGGGAAACATATGGTGGTGGGTGCATGCTGAGGGGAGAAGAGGTGGGGTGAGGAGCTGAAGGGCTGCAGGGTGGGCTGGTGTGGGGAGAGGGGAGCAGGGGTGTCATAGAAGTGCATATGCTGCAGGCCTAGGACCGAGCTCTGTGGAAATGAGCTCAATGTGGTTGTGTTTATCTGCTGTCATTACAGGCTTGGGACCAGCTCTTGAAATACTCGCATGGTAGAGTAAAACACGTCCTGGAAGACTACAAGGAGATCTTTGAGGCTTTGCCGTTTCCAGACAAGAAGAGGTGAGCAGGAGCTCCTTGGTGCATGACCGTGAGTGGGTCAGAATGCTGCTCCTGACCCATCAGCTGCCATAACGAGATGCTTTCCTCTCCTGGTCCTTGGATAAAGTCATGAGTTTTATTCATCACTACGTCGCTCTGCGGTCGCCCTTGTTCCACTGCCTGTTTTTAACATGCCAGTGCTCCTTTTTCCCCATTGCCTTTCTAGAATCACCAATATCTATGATAAAATTCCCATGACGGTTGCTGGGGTGGTCGGTTACTTAGAGTCTGCCTCTCCATACCAAGTATTCATGAAGAGTGATCCTGAGGCTGCAAAAACCCTCCTCCCAAGGATGGAAAAGAGGTAATAAAAGGAAAAAAAGGCTTCTAGGGAAATGAGTAGGGCATGGAAGATGTCCTCTTACAGGGTGAATCAAGAGTGGGGTTGAGGGGAAGGAGGGGTGCACCGCTTTGTGAAAGGGTTTCTGCCAATTGGTATTCCAAGCTTTGGAGTGTTTTAGAGAAAGAATCTCATCCCTGCTTGTGGTCATTTCCCCACACCTGGTGCTGCATGGCTGGATGGAGATGGAAGACCTTTACTCTGCTTCTTGCAGGCTGCTGGAGACGATGGGAGCTGCCTCACGTGACACCCCGCTGGAGTTCTGGGTGAGGCATGTCTGCATCCTGGGGCACAAGGAAGCGTGAGGCAAACCTCCTCCTGACCTCGTGCTGAAAGAAACAGGATTCCAAACACCCTGCTCTTCCTTGGAGAGATCAGTGGTGATTTCAGTGATCGAAGCCTTAATCTTTGTAAGCAGACGTGGAATAACGCAGGGCCACAGGGTCTGTGCCATGCTCCCAGTCTGCCCAGCACCCTCCTGTTGGAGGAACCCACCAGGGTGGTTGTGATTATTATCCCACATCCAATCCTATAACAGCTGAATTTCTTGAACAATTAAAAAAAAATAAGTTGCAAAGTGGAATTGTGTTTGGCTTCTCTAATAGAGGCTTGGTGGGCCTGGCTGCTCTGGTCCCTGTGGAATTTCTTGGCAGGGAGCTCTTGTAGCTTGAGCCTCCCTGGGCTTGCTCCTGCAGAGAATTGTTTGCGTAGCCCTTGGATCCAGCCTCAGTTTTTTTATCTGCTTTGTGCACCAAAGGTAACTGTGTGCCACTCCCTGAAATGCAAAGGCGAAATGATTCAAAGCTGGGTCTCAACAGGTGCTGGTCACCTCCTGTTTGCTTTTTGGAGGCACTGAGGTTCCATGGGGATGTGTCCAGTTCCCGTAATCCCTGCACCGGGCAGGAATGGTGCCCTAGAGCTGTGCTCTGTGAGGGGATCAGGGTCCCCTTTCCCACAAAAAGGGATTTTGTGCTATCAGTCCCATGGGGTTTTTCTCCCATGGAAGCACTGTGGGGAGGATCTGACCAGCCCATCCCTGTGGGGTGCTGCAGGTGAGGCAACATCCCCAGGCTGTCCTCCGTGTTAAACCTAAGAGGGTTGGAGATGCTGTGTCCCTACAGCACTGGCACAAGAGCTTTCCAAAAAAAGGGTCTATATTCACAGCAGCTAACTAGAACAGCTCTCCTCATGTCAGCCTCTGAGGGATGATGCAGGGGTGATGTGTCAGCATGAGTTACATCACTGCAGCTGAGTGCTGGTAGTGGCACCAGCAGGTGGGATGGTGACAGCTGCTGAGCAGTGGCCACCTGTTGGATTTGGGGCATTATTTTGTCTTGCTTCACCTTTTTCCCCCAAGTCTTTGTACAACCAGCTCCAATAAGGTGGGGAGAAACTCCTGGCCCCTCCATAGCTCTTTACTGCACAGCACAGCTGGTGGCCAATGCTGCTTTTGTCAGCCTCCTGGTGAGTCACAGGGCGATGACCTCACCTGGCATTGGTGAATGCTTGGCATAGCTGTGCCTGTTTTGCTTTCCTTTCCACACCTGGGGATCTCCTGCAGTCGGGGATTTCTTCCTCTGGAAAAGCAGAACGAAGCTCCTCGGTGCTTTTCTCCCACTCTGTAGCATCGGGGGACCTGTAATTATTTGTGTCACCCAATGTATTAACAGCACAGTCAATAGATGTGGAATGCAATTAACAGTTTCTTAATGTAGTGAGACCAGATAGCTGCTCATTTTCTTGTGGGCAGAAACAGAAGAAGGGCTGCATCGCTGCCTATGCCTCCCTGCTGGGCTGGCCATGGTGTGCCAAGGTGGTGGCTTTGGGGGACCTGCTATGTGGGTGACAGCTGCTGCAGTGGCAGAGCCAGCAGAAACGTGGTTCAGAGGAGCTGTGCCAAATGCAGCCAGCCTGGGTTGAGGCACAACCTATTGGTGTGAAAGCATCTCTTGCAGCTCCCTGTGCAGGACTCTGGGTTTTCCTGCCATCTGCTCAGAGCTCGGTGCCCATGATGGAGCCATGCATTGTGTCGTGCTCCAGTGCTGTGCTTACAGCTGTGGTTTTCCTGCTCTGCTTTCACTTTTCCTTTGGCACCTTGGGATTTCCTGCTTGCCTGTGTAAAGAAATGACGTCTCATTACGCTTTGCCAACCAGAAATGATGCCTGGGGAAATAAACGCTGCAGTGACAGAGGAGATGAACCAAAGGAGCCAAGTCCCACAGCAACGTCATGCTGCTGTGGCAGCCAATGGGACACCACAGAGCATCTCTATGGCTGTTCTGAGTGCAGCCAGCAGCGATGGGTGCAGGTTTTGGGGTGAATCCCCTGGATTATGGCGGAGGTGAGATTGCAAGAGCTGGCACTGTCCATGAGCATGTTGCCCTTTCTCCCCAGGAGAGCATGCTGCTCCAGCTGCATTGAGGACGTTGTGCCCAGCTTTAACACCTCATGGGATTTTTCTTTTATGGATGTTCTATGCTTTGCTTGGGTAGCTTCTATGAAGTTACTTTCATTGCTTTTGGCTTCTATTTCATCGTTGTACCAAGTATGAACAAATGCATTGAATAAACTGCATTTTTCTCTATGTGTTTGCTTCTTTATGCGGACAGAAAGGAAAGAGGAGCTTTCCAATCTTGGGGCACACAAGGTAATGAAGAACCAAGCCTTGGCTGAGGCTCAGGCTTTTAATTATTGACCTTAGCTGTATTAATGAGTCATATAGCCCAATGCTGGTGGGATCCTGGTGGATCCTGGTCCTGCAGTGCTGTCCGCGACTTGCCATGAGCAGGAAGTCTGTGTCTCCAGTGCTTTCAGGCTTTACATCTGCATCTGGCTGTCCTGGCTCTGCTCCAAGCTCTGACTCTGGTCTGAGCGAAGTGAGCACTGCTGCTGGCCTACTGCACCACTCCTCGTCCTGACTGTGGTGCCTGGTGATGGGACGGGAGGCAATGAACCCAAGTCAAAGCACATCTGAGCACAGCGAAGTCTTACTGAGGAGACAATCATGTGCTGGCACAGGCTGCTCGATTTGTGGGGTCTCCACCCTTGGTGATAGGCAAAACAAGACACGGTCCTGGAGTGCCTGCTCAGGGCAATGGAGCACTGGGACAGAGTGCCCAGAGAGGTGGTGGATGCCCATTCCTGGAGACGTTCAAGGTCAATGCACTGAGCACCGGGTCAGCTGCTTATGTCCCTGTTCATCGCAGGGGAGCTGGACCTGATTGTCTTTAAAGGTTCCTTCCAACTCAGACGTTTCTATGATAATCTGCTTCAGCTGCCCCTGCTTTTTACACATGCAGGATTATATTTTCCTGTATTTGATGATTGATTAATGCACAGAACTAAATGCAGATGTAGTTTCACAGCTCAGGTTACCTCGAGGAAACGACAGATGTTGGACGCGCAGTGCTGTGGTGCCCTTACTCAGTGCTGCACTACTGCACGGTCGCTCTTTACACACATGGGTGTATTTGGCTATACTTCATGATCAGTGCACGACATTCCAAGCGCAGTTATAGATGCACAGCTCAGGTTTCCTTAGGGAAAGGGCAGGTTTCTTGCAGCGCGGGTGTGTTTTTACAGCTGCCAGGGCAGCGCTGTGAAGATGCTGTATTTGCATTTTCCACGAATGCTGAACAGGGAGGAAAAGCCATGCACAGTGCTGTGGGGTCCCACCATGTCCCAAGCCCCATTCCGGTCGCCATATCCCCACAGCGCCCTCACCTGTGGCCACACCTGTGGCCTCGGGGTTTCCTCTCCACTGCTTTCGCTTTCCTGTAGCAGAGCTGCCTTGCCTTGGATTTTCCTGTCAAGCTGAAAGTGCAATCCAGCCCGCTGCTTAAAAGCCAGAGAGATGGGGCAGAGCAGCAGGAGTGACTTGAGAGGAGCAGGAGGAGTGACTTGACTCCAACTCACTGATTCTATTTCTTCTTATACTTGTTTAATTTTGCTTCGAAGATGGTATGCTACGGGGTCACTATGATATTGGTGGGGACCCTGGGGGCCCTCATGGCGGATGCGTTCCCTCGGGTCACCCCGAAGAAGAGCTGCAGCCTCTCCAAGTACCAGTTCCCTGCACCTTCGGAGTTGAAGGCAGTGCAGAGGATGAAGGAGCAGTTTGTGAGTATCTAGGGCAATGAGCCCTGGGCTGGGGGGCATCGGCTGGAGGGGAGTGAGGCAGAGAGGCAGCTGAATTTCAGGCCCTGAGCAGCAAAATGGATGTTTTCGGGGTGTTTCTGTGTGGGGACAAGCTGGATGTGTTGCAGGCAGTTTGGGGACAGCAGTCCCTAGCACAGTGAGCAGCAGCACTTACCCGCCCTTGGATGATGCTTGCATCCTGCCCATACCGATAGGGTATGGCTATGATGAATTTTGTGCTGGTTTCACATTTCTGCGGGGGGGAAGCGGGTTGTGCAACAAAGCCCAAAATCCAAGAGCAGCTTTTCAATCTGTCCCCATTCTCTCATGTTTCACCTCCAGGAAGACATCATGCTATTAACAAACCGAAAATGCAACACCAGACTCTTCCATCGGAAGTGGAACACGGCTGAGCTGTCGGTAAGGACGATGCTATGGAAGGGGAACCCCTCCTCCAAGCAGGACCCTCTTCTTCTGCGCCCTGAGGCAGCTTCTGATCTGTAACCACGATGCTCTCGCCTACAGGTACCTGACCGGATCGCCCTGGTGAAGGCTGAGCTGGACCTCACCATCACCATGCTCACAAACCCCACAACGCAGAGGATGGCTGAGACGTGCCAACAGCCCCTGGCCTTCCTTACCCAAGTCCGGCAGGACCTGCGAGACTGCGTGAGTGTCCCCCCAGCCCTGCAGCCCCAGCTCAGTGGCGTCGGTGTTGGTGGCAGCACCATGAGCATCACTGGTGCTTACAATCACTCTCCTTGCAGTTGGCCCTCGAAGCGCCTTCACATCAGCCCTCTGGGAAACTGAGGCACTGGCTGCAGAAGCTGGAGACAGCCAAGAAGAAGGTAAGTCAGGATGCTGCGCAGGACGGCTGGTGTGGTTCCAGGGCCTCCTGAGCAGACAGCTCATCGCTTTGTATTCAAAAGCTCTAAATTCCACTTCAGAGTATGCAAATCAAGGGCAAGCTAGAGCCTTTTTTGCATCCCTCCATTAAGAAGCAGCCAAAAAGGCATTCCTCAGCACCTCCAATCATGGCTAGAGTTTTGACCGCTCGTATAAAGCAACTTGACTTCCCAACCCCAAGCAACGCAGGGAAGCCCTTGCAACCTGCAGCGCTCAGCAGCGAGAGGCCAAGGACTCATGATAGCTCCAGGTCCTGTTTGCTCCATCCCTGGTGCTCACCTCCCCTGCTCCCATTTCAGGAGACCGCCGGCTGCCTGGAGGCCTCGGCCATCCTGCACATCTTCCAAATCCTGAACGACCTGCGGTGCGCAGCCCAGCGCGAGGATTGCACTTAGCCCCAGCGCCCCGCATCTGCCCAGGAGCACCGGCTGCTCTCACGCTGCTTCATGGAACTGCTTGGCTGTATTTTCCTATTTGTCTCATTGATGTGAGCTTAGGGAGCAATTTTGTAACAGTCTCTTAATTTATTGTGGGTTTTGTGGGGGTTTTTTGTACCACGTATTTATAAATATTTAAGGAAGATGTAAAGAAATGCGCTTCTTGAAAGCTACTGCTCAGTGAGGATGAGCATCTTTGTATCTTTGTTTTGTTGGTTTTCAAAACACAGTATTTAAGAGATCTATTTTCTGTACTCGCTATTTATTACACACCGTGTTACATATATTTACTTGTATAGATAATTTATTTTTACATGAAAAAAGAAATAAATGCGTTAAACTGACAAGCTGCCGTCATGTTTGCACAATGTCTTGCTGTAGTATCATCCCTTCAGAATCGTTTGGGGATGATACCAACATGGCTGTTGGGCATATGAAGTTGGCAGAACTTCACCCCTGTGCTGATGCCACCTGAAGCTGCACCCTGACACCTTTCCTGGGGCTCACTTTTGGGATGAATGGAGGCTGTGGTGGCTGGGGATGTCCTTGCCTGCTGGTCCAGGACGGGTAGCACCGAATACGGGATGTCTGAAGCCTAAAGCATCCCAGTCCTGCGTGGGAAAGGCTCCAGGCTTGGCCATCCCAGAAGCTCTCAGAAGAACCCTGTGTGATTTAATTATCAACCACAAGGATAGGAAAAGGAGTGCTGGGGAAGGAGGGCACCCTGCAGGGAGAGGAGAAAAAGGATGGATGAGCAGTGCATCATTCAGTTTGGGCCCAGATGCTTCTTTGGAGACTGGTCACCAGAGGAAGGGAGCTGGTGAAGCTGTGAAGGTCACACACGGTGTCACCAGGGGCAAGAAGTCTCCCCAACCACAGCAAGGAGATCCAAAACACGCAGATGAGATTTTCTGTTTCTTAAGAAAGTCAACAGTTGAGTTTCATCACTGCATCACTTTATAAACTTCTTCTGCCCCCAACTCTTCCATCAGAATCCAGGTTCACATCACCCACAGACTGTGCACTGTTGGTGGTGCAAAAACCAATACTTCCTCCAATAATCTGCAGCTTAGGAGCTGATTTGTAGCACTGCACCAAGCAGAAGAGATCTCACAGGCATGGCTGCCAGGGCTTGACATAGCCTACAGAATTATGCACAACTGTAAGCAATTTGCTGATTCATCTGAGGCTGTCACAAGAAAGGATGATTTAAAAGGCTGCTGTGGCAGAAGAGGTTCTGCCAGAAGGTGGGTTTCTGTTGGAATTAAAACAAAATAATAGTAATGCGTAGGGCTGTACTGACTTTTAGGGTATTTGTTGTGGAAAATAGCCAAAATGAAACAGAAACTTGAAACTTTTGTGTTTTTTCTTTTCCTGAGGACACAAGGCCTTCAAGTCAGATGAAACCCGAGGAGCATCCAGCCAAACTCTAGTCAGGGCAAGCTGTACAGGGACACACCTGGGTGAGTCCTGGATGGTTCCAGGAAGAGAGATTTCACAACATGGGTAAGGCTTTCTGTTGGGTGATTCTGTGAAGCAGCTCTGTGCCAGAGCCAGCTGCAGAGTGATGGAACACACGGAGAGGGCAGAGGATGACAAACAGGGGCTGTGAATGTTCATCACTGCTAAATCCCCGTTTTTACCAGTGCTCTTGATATTGTAATTGTCCCCCCATTCAGGGCTGTTCATAATTCACACTAATTCCCGTATATATTATACCGGGAACCGTCAGGAATCATTCTGTGATGTTACTGTCTTGCTCTCGGAGGAGGTGATGTTCAGTGAGATCTGATTGCTTTTCATTTGCTTTGATTAAAAGGGTTTTTTGACAAATAACCTTCGCTTCTATCTGCAGGTGACTTCTGCACGTGTGTGAGTGGTTGGTGGATTACTCATTCTCATGCAAAGCCTCAATTTGGGCTGAAGGACAGATAGCTGCTGAAGGCTCTTGGGACTCCAGGCTGCCATGTGAATTAGTGATGATTTTCTTCTTGTTTCCTTTGGACTCCTGAAGTCTTACTGAGGGTGTTACCTCTGTAGTCACAACCCAACCCCGTTTCTCTGCTCGTGGACAAGTCCCCCCAGCAGCCCACGTCCCCTGATTCTCTTTCTGCACTCCCACAGAGGTGTCTGCAGAAGAGGCTGGGAATGCTGCTTCTTTCTCATTTGATTTCTGTTTTCGTTTCAGAATGGAGGCTTCCTTACTGCCCTGAGACAGCCAAGAAAGGGCAGCTGACACGTGGTACACCATGCACTGTCACTCCTTTACTCAGATAAATGTCCCAATATCTTCAGTCCCAGAATCCATAGACTGGAGAGGTAAATGTAATAACCTTCGAGAAGGAAATTTAGAAGGTAGGTTCACACAACAGAAGGCTGTGTTTTATGCCAAGCTTAGAGGAAATGGAAAACGATCTATCAGGAAAACGTAATAGCAGAATATTTTGGTGCAGGCATTTAAAGGCTCAGGTTTTAAGAAATGGCCTCTTGCATCCAGAGTATGACTGTGTGCTATCAAAAGCAATAAGGAATTCCAGCTGTGTTTCTGGAAAGCTCTGAGAAAAGGTTCTGACCTTTGTAGGTTAAAAAAAAAAAAAAAAGTAAATTGGAGCCCTATTAATGGTATGGAAAAGATGAAGAAAAGCTCAGATCTGCTTCTTAAGTATTTTTCCATGCTGTTCCTTGTTTCTACTTTACTCTGTGATCTCTTGTCTGGAAGGATGCATCCGAGTCGATGTGGTGCTGCTTCAAGTATTGTCTTAGCAAAGGATTGCTTTATACAGCACAACAGAGGTCCACAAAGCATCAGAGGGAAGGAACTTTTGGGTCGTGCCAATTCTACAGCAGGCCAATCCTGCCAATAAAAAAAGAGGAGGAAAAAGGGTTCTGGGTTAATGATGTTGGATTAAATAGATTTAATTAAGCTAAACCCTGGTGCTGATTTACTTTTTAGAAAGGAAGCAGTTGTGTTCCCGTGAATGTTCAGGAACTGGTATTTAGTTGCTACCTGCTGAACTTTGTGTCTGGTCTGCACGTTTGCTTTATAAAACCTTCTAACCACTAATTGCTTGGTTTTGGTTCCCCTTTTCATTGCATGCAATGGGATGGATAAACTCCAGTTAGGTACGATGGCGTCGGTATTTGAAGCGGCATATCCCAGTCATTTCCTGTCCGTTACTGAACGTAATCTCGTGATTTCACACAGATTTCAGCTTCCACTAACTTAGCGCGGGAACGGGTTACGAGACTAAGGGCACAGCGCCCAAAATGGCGCCGGCCGAGCCCAACCCCAACTCTCGCGAGACGACGGCGGGAGCAGGCAGAGCCCTCGTAACCGGTGGAGGGGAGGGGGCGCCTACAAGCCCCGCCCACGTCCTCGCCCACTTCCGGCGCGGCGGGCGGGCGGCTGAGGGAGGAGGAGCCGCGCCGCCGCCCCTGCCCCGGGCCAGCCCCGGGATGGTGTTGGCCGCGGGAGCCGGGCCCTGACGCCGCGCTCAGGTAGGTGCGAGCCGCCCCTTACGCTTCTGGATCTGGATTCGGACCCGCCCGCGTCTCCCCGTGCGGTACCAGCCTGCTAGGCCTCGGAGCACCGGCTGGGTCTGCCTGCCCCCGGCTGAGGGACGAGAGGCCCGGCGGTGCGGGCCTGCAGGGAGCTCGTGCAGTCCCTGCGTGCTGCGGAACTCCCCCCCCCCCATGGGCTCCGTCAGCAGAAGGGGGGGCAGCGCTGGGGCTCGGCCCCTTGGTGCTTGCCTTCTGGTTGCCGCAGCTTTTTAGGACGAAGGTAGCGAGGTGCTTAATGCCTGCTGATACCGGTTTCGTTTGGACGTGGTGCCTTTAGGAGGCTGTCTGCAGTTCGTAGGTTTTCATTTCTGTTTCTGTTACTGTTTGTTTGCTTTTAGAAGCCCGTGTCACCGTTTTCCTGTCTCTTCCCTTCTGTGTATGTGGTTTTTTTTTTTTTGTTTTTTTTTTTGTTTTTTTTTTTTGTTTTTTTTTTTTTTTTGGACTCCTTTCGTTAAAACCGGCTGTTGCCTTTCTTCGTGGGAAAGCAGACTGTTTTGTCTGCGTATTTTATGTCTCTGGGACAGCGTGAGAAGGGGGGAAAAACACAACCGAGCCTTTTTCAGCTGGGCAACCTGGATTTCTGTTTGCTCCAGGTTTTACTGTTTTCAGTCTGGATCTGAAATGTAAGACATGTACCTATCAGCCTCAGATAATTTGGCCTTCTTGTGTATCTTATCAGGGAGTGGTGCTGTTGGGTACTCTTGTAAAACACATGTTTTTCCTCTCTTTTAAACCCCATTACTCAGTTATCTGTTATGTTCTCCTCTACACAGAATCACAGAATGGCTTAGGTTGGAAGGGATCTTAAAGCTCATCTAATTCCAGTCCTCTACCTTGAATGCCCAAGTGTCACAGCAGTTGTTTGATTTCTCTTCTTCCCCATGCTGGTACTTAGGTGCTGATGTGGTTTGTTATAAATCCCTCAGCTTTCTCACAAACCTGCAGAGCAGCTAGGCTGTTTCTGCAGATATGCCAAGGAGACTGACAGGCCAGGGAAGCTTTTTCTCCCACCTGATTTCTTTAAGGCTGGAACGAACACAATCAGCAAAGCAACTGCTGTTACTGTTGACCTGCTGATTTCAAGGCATGCTTAGGAAGAAAGAAGCAATGAGAGATGTAGAGCTGGAGCTGACATAAAAATCTTGTTTCTAGTCTTGTCATTTTATGTTATGCTCATCTTCATCTCAGTAGTTCCTTCACTTGACCATTTGCACTGTGAGTATCTCAACTGATGTTGCATGAGCACCTATTTCATGTCTTGGGAACTGCTGCACCATATCTGTCCGGTCTTCTGTTCAGACTAGCTCATGTAAAGACTGTATGATTAAAGGGTAAACATTACCATTCTAGTGGTGGTGAGGCCTAAAGGGTATTGATCTTGTCAGTAGAAATTTGGTTTTGGCCACACTTCTAACAAGAGTGAAACTTCTTAAATGAACTGCCTTAAAGTAGGAATAGCATCAAAATGTTCAGGCAGAGGACTTTGCTTTTAAGAATTTGGCATTCTGTCCGACTCCTGCTGTGACTGATCATCATAGTCCTCTTCTGATGTGGAAGATTGACGTGGCAAAAATCTCTCTTTGTTTCAGTTACCAAATGTCCACATGTAACACCTTTATGGCTGTGCTGTGAAGAGTGCATCCTGTCACTATTGGGCAGTTTAAATCTGTTCCATTCGCTGTGTGCTGCTGTCTGACTCAAAGCTCACTTCCCAGTGCTGCAGAGTAGTTCCAGGAAGCACTGCCCTCCCCTTCCTCTCTTCTTTGGATGCAGAAAGCAGTTCTAAATGCTGTTACAGGAGATACAGATGAG